ACACTCCCGAGTCCCTTACCGCCGCTCCCAGGGCTCTGCAGTCCTTCTTGATAGTCCTCAGATTCTGACTTTTATTTATTGATTTTTTGATAAAGAAGACCATGTATCTCCCTACCTGGCTCCCACCAACTGTGCTGACACTTCACATATTGTGCAAGGGAAAAGAAGCTTGACTCTGCAAGCGTGGCACGGCTGTTTGCCAAAGCAGAACTCCCAGAAGAACTCTGATGCTTTTGATTCCTTCTGACTTTTATTTATTGATTTTTTGATAAAGAAGACCATGTATCTCCCTACCTGGCTCCCACCAACTGTGCTGACACTTCACATATTGTGCAAGGGAAAAGAAGCTTGACTCTGCAAGCGTGGCACGGCTGTTTGCCAAAGCAGAACTCCCAGAAGAACTCTGATGCTTTTGATTCCTTATGAATGCTGGTAAAGCACAGTATTTTGTCTTCAGAATACCAGAGTGGAGAAACCTAAAGTGACCCCAGCTTCTTAAACCTAAACGTGAAACCCAGCTTCACCTTTTAACATTATACAGATTGTGCAGTGTCTCAGAACTAGTCCCTAGTTTAGCAGAGAAAACTACGTGGAGGCCAGCAACAGAAAATAACACTAATAATTAGAGTCAAATAAGGCCAGGGGTCTCCACCCTTCTTTCTTCCAGTGTTTTCTTCCCTCAGGTGAGGTATTAAGCTAAGAGACCTACTTGAAGTAAAGTTTCCTAAAATAAGTGTTGAACTAGGAGGCACCTCCCATGTCTAGGGCACAGTTGCTAATTACCTAGGAAAATACAGAAAGGGTCAGGAAAACATCAAACTTGCAACAAGCTTCAGGACGGGACTTGTAAGAAACGTGAAAGAGTGAGCAAAAAGCATCATGCCTTCTAGTAATCTAGTAATACTGATTTCTCAGAGCTGTGAGGGGGACGGGATGAGTTCATGCATAAAAGAGGAGGACACACAGCCAAGGGCAGACAGTGCACGTAAGCGTGGGGATTGGGTGCAAGATGGTAGTGGCTTCAGACATCTACAAGAACTACTGTTGTGCACAGGGGCACATGGGGAAGAAATGCTTCCTGTGCCATTTAGCAGCTTCCTCCACCGCAGCCGTGACTCTAATTGCCCATGCATCAAGCCAGCTTCAAGGATCAGTAGGGGCTGGCTCGCCTGTGTTTGCGCCATTGATGCATGCAGCTTTGGGAACACTCCGTATTTTTCCCATTATGACAAATGCCCATAAGGAAACTGGCACCACAAAAAGGTTGCACAACCCCCACCAACTTAAAAGGAGAAAGCCAGACACGCCTATTCCTTCCTCGGCGTTGGAGGCACAAAAGGACTAATGCTAACATACACAAATAACAGGTCTGGAGGAACTCTCTCAAATTCCAGTCTGGGATAGTATCAAGATAGGATTTTAATGCTGCATTTTACAAATCATGTACATTGTTAAGATGAAGATGTTCTCCACCTAAGCCTCCCTTTTTAAAATTTCAGAGAAAACCTTTACATGAAGAATCAATAATTTCATATGAACACATAGACATTTGGCAGACCTGGAAGGGAAAGCAGTTTACCAACATAGTATAAGATTTCATTAAAACGTTGCTATGGTGAATTAGAGTGAAAAGCAAAAGCTTCAACAGCATCATGAACCCATAGGTGGGTTATAAGAAAATATAGTAAAACTGGGGGTGGTACATTATCAATAGTTTCTCAGCTTTTTAATCTGAACATTTTTCAGGGTAAAAAAAAATCATCAAAAGTAACCCTCACCACAGTTTCCATTTTGATGAAGAACCTTTCCCATCCAAAAACATGTATGCTCAAAAAATTCCTAACCATCTTTTATAATTACGAGTGTTAATCAGTTCTGTCCCTTAGCTCTTGGTTTTGGCAGTTCATATAATGGTCTGGGAGGATCCAGATAACATTTAAGGCTAAACTGAGTCAGCCTGGAAAAGATTGTATTTATATAATTGCAGTATGGTATGGGAAGTGCCATATATTACAACACGCTCAGCATTAGCCTAACTCTGAAGTCAGCTGTAGTCAGCTACCGCCACCCTGCTATGACTAACTCTGTGAGGTCTCTCTTCATACAGCACCTTACATCATGAAGGATTTAAGACACAGCTCTTTTCTAGCCTTTGTATTCTTACGGCCCAGACACTGACATCCCAACCCACTGCCAGCTTCTAACCCCCACTGTGATGGAAATATTAAAGAACACAGTTTCTTGTTTCAACTCTCTGCTCTCACTCCCCTGCTGCTGGTTTCTTCCCACTAGACCTCTTTCTTGCCTCAATCTTGCATATTCCCATCCACCAGACAATACGAGTGAGTGAAGAGGCGGCAGAGCTAACTAGCTGGGTATACGACAGGCTGTTTTATCCAGCTGCATCCAGTTCTTGGATTCAAGTCACTTTCTGCAGTAAGTTCCTCCAATTGAGTCTCATAAGTGCAGACATTAGGGCCACCCAACAGAAATCATGAAATGCTGTCATGACCCTCCCTGTCCAACCGGCAAGAAGGTTAAGAGGATGCCTCCGCTCAGCAGGAATCTGGAAGCAGGGATTTGGCACAGAAGGCTGCTCCCAGGAGTGCCTGGTGAAGTGCCGATGTGCCAGGATGCAGAGGGAACACATTCTTAACTCTCAGGGTCCAGCACCTTGTGGGATGGGGCACACTAAAATGAAAGCCCTGTTGGGACAGCAATTTCAGTTCCCCTTTGACTCCATCATTTCACAGGTTACCTTCTCCTCTTGATTAGAAGGAAACCCAGGTTCCCCCACCCCAGCCAGGAGGGGTTGGGGAAGGTTGCCCAGAGCTGTGTTGCAGGAAGGCAGGCGAATGTTTGTGACTCCTCTGGGGGACTGGCAGCAGTTTCATACCAACTGACTGAAAAAATTTGCCAGAAACTGCTCTGAGAAGATCCCATGGGACTGGGGTGCTAGGTGGGGACTGCCAGCTCCTTTCTACTGCCAGGGAAAGGAAACATTGTGTAGGAACATACACGGCTGAGGAAAGAGTCCCTAACAGTAACATGGTGTGTGATCTCTCTGTCATTATGTTCTCCTTCCACTAACCATTTTCTGAGGTGCTTAGTTGCTGACCAGGGTTAAACCACACCACCTTCATCTGTTAAATCTCCCCTTTTCTTGTCCTCATAATTCCCTTGGTTTCTCTCCCTTTTCAAACACCCTCCCATGCTCTCCTACCTTATTCAGTTTCTTTTTTAATTCCCACTATGGGTTTCTCTCCCCTTTCAGTTCATCGCTGGGACCACCTCATCTAAAGAGCAGTTGGTCTCCACCACTCTGAAAACGCCATGCACCATCTTCCCCCCTCAGAGGTAGGAGTCCAACACTTCCAATGCCCAAGCACAACCTCTTCTCGTCTCTACTCCCTTCACTTGCTGCCCTTCAGGAACATGGTCTCCTTCACTTGCTAGACTAGTCTTATGCTATCTCAGACTTGGCATAAGAGGAAATTTATGCAGGGATCAGTGGCAACCAGCAGGTACCTAACCATTTGCTTTCAAGATTTAGTTAAGCGAAAGTGGCAGGAGTAAGATCCAGGGCTGGCACTGATTTTTGCCCTGCTGACTTTCACGTTGAACCCATTAAAGTTTCCTGCTCTGTATATCTAGCAAGGCTTCCGCATACCAGGGCTAGAGCTTTCCAGTCTGGTATCCAGAGCTCTGCTGCAACTCATTGTGGCCAAATCAGTTGGCAACAACTCACCAGAAATACTTTTGGAGCCGGTTATGAGATGAGATAGAGCTGCAGGGAGATCAGGACACTTCTGTGTCTCATGGTCCCTTAGCCCTCTGCGACTCCTTGACTCACAAGACATTTATTACCCTGGGCATTCACTTGTGGCACTCAACAGAGGCCTTGGCTCTGGGCTGCAGTGGCCCTTGACATAGCGAGAGCCCCCAGAAGGGATTGGCTTACTTTCCACTAGGCATGTGGTGCTGCTCTGCCATGCCTCGTCCAAGGATGAGGTTACAGTACACCTTGGCAAGGTGAATCCTGGCCACCGCTAACTTCGCCAACACATCATCCATTTCTTTCTTCTCTAAAAATACCATAGTCCTGTTTAAAACAAAAAGGGAAAAAAAGTTTTCAGGGAAGGTGCTCTGGACAGAAGGGATGCTAGAAAGAGTGACTGCTCCTGAGAAGTAAGCATGATTTTCAGGCACATAAACCAACGCTCTGCGTGACACCACCGTCAGGGGACACCTCTGCAGCAAGGCTGGGCTCAGACGCTTCCAGCGCAGCTTGGCAATGCCGGTGGGGCCACAAGGCCTGGGGCTTGGGCCCAGACAGTCTTTCTTGCCCCACGCAACTTATAAGCTGCATGCTCACAGCCCCGTCAGGTTGCCGTCTTTGATCCTGCATAGCTTATGAACCCTTTTTGCAGCCTGCATAAAAGCCCTGGAGGGGCATTTAGATATCTCCGGGCGGGCAGCCTGGAGCGGCGGGTCTGGCTCATTCAGAGACAGCACTTACTCCTCTTCAAAAAGACACATGAAGTGCTTTGGGACTGCCTCTAAACAGGAACGGCTGACACCGCAAGCCTGTATTTTAAGCCAATTCAGATCAAACACTAAGGAAATGCCAAACCAAAGAGCTTTCTATTTCCTCTGCTTCCCCTGTAATCCACCCAACTGTCTGCCGGTGCCTGGGAGTGCTGCTGGCCTAAAAGTTACCAGCCTCTTTTCACACTCAGGAGAGTTGGTTTTATCTGTCCTATCCCTGATGGCCTCCAGCTCTAAAGCTTCCTATACAACCCACCTTTAATAAATTAGGACAATTACTCTGGGCTTCTCAAGGATAATTGCTAATAAAATTCAGCAGATTTTCCTCAAAAGACATGAAAGGATTGGAAGCAGAAACAGACAGAAACTAAAGGGGAAAGAAAATGCAGGACAGAAATAATAGCCCTTGTGCCATTCATGTCTCAACCACCACTACTGAGTTTTTGTTCTTAGAGTCACATATTTCAGAGATGAATACTCCCAAGCCGTCTCTGGTGGGGGAATGCCTCATGCCCGCTGCTTTGGAAAACTGGTTGGTTGTTTTTGAAGTTAGTTACAAGATCTTCCTGAACCTAGAAGAAGCCAGGAAATCCTCAGGCTTGGATTTACAACGAATCAGCATAGCATCAACAAAAGACAAAGTCACAAGAAGGCAAAGATGCCCATATTCATCCTGACGTTCTCTGATAGGAACCCCTTCCAATACTTTCTTTTCCAAAGATAGTTTAATGCACAGAAGCAATGACTTCTGAAGCCAGGACGGTCTTAGACGTTCTCTTGAGGCACTGTGGACACTGATACTTCTACACGGTCTAGGTTCAAGACAGTTGAGGAGCTATTCAGACCATCAGGCCTGGCTCCCTGTGGACGACAGTAGTCCCAGCAGATTAGTTAGGCATCTCTCATAGGCAGCCCAAATGGGAGGAACCCCAAAACACACCAACTAGGAGCAGGAATAACGAGCATTGTTTTCCGTGTTACTAGGTTATCACATGGGGTCTACAAGAAGAGCAGCTCAAAGACTGCACAGCCATTGGATGTGTCTGTCATACAGGAACATCAGGCTGATAAAGGACTAGGTGGGTCACCAAGCCCAGTCTCCAAATAATCTGTCTGTCAGATCAACTGGGAGCAAATTAATAGGTGTCACTAACGAGACACAGGAAATGGTACTGACATGTCTTGCCTCCAGTCTGTCTCTACTTGTGGCACAGAGCCAGTACTACATAGGAAAGCAAAAAAGCCTCTGAAACTAAATTACATCTTGGAGGAAGGGGGAGGGAGTTTTCTTCCTAAGCAGGCCACTAGCAACAGCCCTGAGCATGGGATTTATGTGGGATAGATATAGGAAAACAGATGGCTATGCAATCTTCTTTCACATTCTCTCAAATGCATCAGCATATCGCAAACCCAAGGATTCTTATCACAAGTGTAATTTTATGTCATTATGATTCTATTATGTAGTTATAAAATCCCCTTCTCAAGCTCATGGAGCTCCACCTTCAGAAAAAAAGTAGTTTTCTTGCTTACCCCCACTACTTCCTAGTGGAAGTCCATTCCAGAACTTTACTCCACAGGAGGGAAAAGACAGTTCTTGCTACATTTGATTTGAAATATAGCACATACCAAGTTTGGAATTAGACCAGGTGGGTAACAGAGGAAATAGGAGGTCTTGAACGGGGAAAGAAGATGCAATGTCAGAAAGCTCCTCACACCGTGATTAGTATCTCCCTGCTCCTCCAAGTCAGCTAAGATGCTAGAACAATTAAGGATGAAGTTCAACGTTAAATAGGACCTAAAATTGCCTTTTGTCATTTCACTTTCCTTCCCTGTATTTATACTTCAGAAGATCAATACCCTGACTCCCTGCTTCTGCATGGTGTCCCTTTAAGCTCCTCTGATGTTACGCTGCACGCAGGTAATCCTGACAAGCAAGTCACTTCCCTTCAGGGGAGGTAACGAATCTAAATAAAACAGTATTGTAGAATATCCCTTTGGGAAGCGGAGTGTCAATATGTTTTCCACCAAAAGGCAGGGGTCGCTTTGAGAGCACTGCATGCCAGAACACACTGAAAAGTCTCTCCTGGTAGGGTTTATCCAGTGCTTATAGCTGATACCTACTACCCAGAGCCCCCTTGATCCGGGAAACATAACCCTGTATTGCAATAGGTCCACACTCCTCTTTGTTTGACTCTGTATCTGTATTTGCCACACCAGTAGATGATATGAGCCATTCTGAGATGTCATGGCCCACGGAGTGGCCTCCTTGTCCTTTACCAGCAAAAAGTGAGGGGGTCATTTTGTAAACTGCAGCCCAGAGCACTTCAACTGAATCTATGACCTTTGTGTATGAAACTACGCTGATGGTTTTCTTTATTTATGAATTATTCCTTGCACAATGAAAGAAACACCTTGGATGTAGAACAAATCAATTCCTTAAGGCCAGCAATCCTCCAACAGTCTTTTCTTCAATCCAGATAAATCAGCCCCTCTTTATATCAAGGCTTCATGAATTGTGAAGTAAGTAATCATTAGGTGTTTTAAGAAGATGGTCAATCAATTCTCAGAGACTATTACAGACTCCAGAAAATCATTGAAGTTTATTACAATCATAGTTTGTAACTCTGTAATGCTTTCTCTCAAGGCGTATAACCCTCTAACACAGCAGCTCCTAAACTATTCCCCTGGCATCCCCACTTCACTCTTCAAGGTTGCAAGTGTGGTCACACACCCTTACTTGGGAACTGCTTTCCTAGCATATATTCCTCATGTTGTAACATGTTTCTAGCACCTAAGAGTCATCTGAACCTGCTTTGCAAAGTGTTTAGAAATGAAGTCTTAAAGCAATGTGACCCACAGCACAAATTAACACCCAGCAGATTCAGTTGCAACTATTTGGTGCTCTGTATTGCAAGCAGAAAAGACTGGATGCTAATGTTATTGCTGGGAAATGGCATTAAGGGATAATAATTCAATTCAGGGCACTCACATAGGTTTAACGGTGGTGGTAGTAGTAATGATTTATTCAAATTGCAGCATCACCTTGAAGAGCCAAATTATTTGGCGACCCCATTGCAGCAGGACTGGATCCAGCCACCACCTTGAAAGGGAGACTACGGTGATGCCATGCCACATGAACAGCAGTGCACGCCGCTCAGGGCAAGGCTGGGGCAAAACGGGGTTCAAACCCTCCCAGAAAATCTGTCTCTCTACATAGTCAGAGGAGCCTGTGTCCTGGAGAGCACAGAGGACAAGGGGACAGGAGACATAAACGGTGAGACCAAGGGGTTCTTCTCCTTAGTATTCCATATATAGACTGGGCCAGTATAGCAAGCAGTCCTTGCTCATATGCAGAATCCCACTGATTCTGACCCAAAAGACTGCCCTGTGATTCCAGATTTGCTGGGGCAAGCTCTGTGTACTTACACCCCTAAAGTCTCATACTCACGAAATCAAGGATCTGTACTTCTTTTCCAGGGCAAATTTTTCCAGGTAAAAAGATAGGTAGAAGAGCAGGGCCATGAGGAACTCATCTAGTTTCTCATTCCTAAATGGAAGGTAGAAAGGTCACTGTGAAGTCTGCAGATTTGCAGGTATAGACACCTCCAGACCATTATGAAAAAGAACAAAGTCTCTGCTCAAGGGCCTGCATTATACCAAATATTAGCTATAGGGTTGAGACCTATTCGTAGCAAGCACTCCACCCCACACTAAGACTTTGAAGGCTTTTAGAGAATTACTAACAGGGTCCAGTAAACACGCTGAAGAGTGGATTGAATTGGATATTACCAGACACACTTCGAGAAGCATGTTTTCTGCACTGAACATGCTGGAAGAGTGGCATTCACATTCAAAGGAAAAGGGGGACAACTCGGACACCCCTCCCCTTCTGAAAGGACAGTATGGCTAAGGTTCAACAAGGTCTACAGATACATTCCTAAGTCAAAGGCAGTGCAGCCACTGTATGGCCCTGGTGATCTCATGGATATGCCTCTGAGATATAATGCTCCGCCTGCTGCCTCCTCACTTTTAGCCTATAGAGAAGTAATGCTGATAAGTGACAGCAGCAAATAATGAGCCCTGTAGCTCTGACGGGAACAGCAGCAGCAGCGGAAGGCAGCCCAGATTCCCAGTCACGTTAGCACTCCTGGTGCACGCAGTGTTGGGGATGCGCTGGCTAACATGGAATTTAACTTAGAGTAAAATGGGTAACAACCTTTGGATATTTAGGCCCAAGTTCTTGTCTTCCTTTAGGTAACAGAGTGGAAGGCTTTCAAACAGGTGATAGGATTATTTCTCTGCACATGTCGAGGACAACATGCATTTGGTATTGTTTCCCACAGAACCTCACAGATGAGAGATTTTAAACCTCTGATATGTCATAGTCTACTTCTCACACCCCCTGGTCCCTCCACTACCAGCTACACACACATAATTCTTGAAACAAACTCGAAATGACATACCTCATAACTGCTGCAAATGATAGCATGTGATGTGACTCATTTGTTTCTTTCAAAAGCAAAGCAGCATCTGAAAACATACAGAGGAGAAAAACAGTATTTCCTCAAAAAAATTGCTAGTGTTAGTAGAAATAGCTTTTGAACTTGTATGGGCGATGCCTTGCTGATACAAAGTACCAGCAATTACTCACATTTGACATCATCCAACGTCACATATTCATGTTGTACCCACTTTGACAGCCTATGCAATTTTCCTTCTGCGTCAGCCAGCCTTCTTTCAGGGAGCGCTGCACTGCAATCATCTTGGAAGATGCTAGTGGTTGACCAATACGTAACATTTAAGGACACTGTGTTAATTCCAGTCTGAGAACATTAAGATTATCTACTCTCTTCATTGCACTCAGTTTCAAAGGGACAGGCAGTGAAATGTGTTTGGCAGGTATCCTGAACTAACTTTCAACTATTATAACCACAAAACAGGCTGGGGTTGTTGAGAGAAATAGGACATTTCACCTCTAAGGTTGCGTCTGAAGTTGTTCTTTTAGTTGCTAATATAATAAATTGTGACTATATTATTTAGATCAAAGAGGTTTTAAGTAATGGATGAAAGTCAGCTATACCATGTTGTGAATTTATGAAATTATTAATAATAATACTTTAATCTTTGAAGTGCCTTACACAGATGAATTAATTACCTCATAATACTCTTTAGGGTAGATGAGAATTATTACTTCATTCTGAACGATCTGGAAACAGCAACAAAGATGCTGAATGACTTTACCAAAGTCATACCATGCTAGTGCCTGAGCTAGCATTCAACACCAGGCATGTCTGGCTCTGTTTTTATGTTCAGACCACTCATCCACCCTGTTGAAATGACAGCTGGCTTCCTGTCTCACGTGTTTTGTTCAGACATGATCCTCTGACAATGGATGAAGATAGTCCCACCCAAATGATCTTGCTTCTTTTTGAGCTAGGCTAGTCGAATTGAAATACCTCTTTAACGTCTTGACACGCATTTCCTGAAAGTGAAGATTTTTTCCTTCCTTAAGGTTTTCCTCAGCTGCTGGATTGGAGCTGAAATACAGAGTATGAGCATGCAGTAGTATGAATTTAAATTACTACCAGCAGTGCAAAGAGGTCAACATCCCATAATACAAAGGCATATCTGTTCTGGCCTCTGACTGACACTAAGAAAACATCTGGGTTGTGGTGAGGTCCATGTGAGACATTGCTTTCAAGAACACAGAAGCAAAGAGTAAAGGGTCTTCCCTGGGTCTTCCTGCTCTGTCTCCTGCCACCATACGCACTGTGCCATGTAAACCCTTCAAGCAATCAGTGTCTCAGGTGGCTTTAGGAAGATTTTAAATGTAAACTGCTCAGTTCCAGAGCTTTTCTTTGGCATCACTGAGGGCAGAGACAGGCAGAGGTCACTGGGGAGCTCACTCCTCTCCCTGGAGAGCTACCAGGCAGAGTCAGCAGCATTCCCAAACCCAGCAGAGAAGTTGGCTGGAGCTGCTGAGACATAGACCATGAAAGGCACCTGCAGTAGCCGTGTGACCAAGGGAGAGGTGAGCAGCTTGGCTCCACTGTGACAAAGGCTTGGAAAATGCCCGGCAGGGCAGGGAGGCAGCAGCAGAGAGCGTGTGACTGACCCACCGCCACCACGCTCCACCACGCTCCCTGCCCTGCACTTGAGGAGAGAGCAGGGGGGATACAGTTTGGGCATTGGGTTTTTTTGCCCCAATAGTTTAAATGATGAAGTCTTAATCCACAACTGCCACAGAAATTCAAAGCACAGTTACGTGCACTTTGTCCCCTGCAGAGCTGTGGTTTCCCTAAAGGTCTGCACTCCTCCAGTGCTCACCATTGCACGGGGTCATATGTAGCACCGGCAACAGGGAACATCAGTCTGTGGACCTCCACCTGGGGTGGCATTTGGCCCTCGCGTCCAGCACTGCTGCTCCCGTGCATGGTGCACATTTCTGACACGTGGCAGGACTCGCCACACGCTTTTAGCCGTCCCTCTGTAGTGGGTTCAGCTTGAGAGCAGTGTGGAGTACATGCGTATTTCTGATTTTCTCCATTAACATGATGGGATAAATGCCACAAAGCAACAGTTAAGGAGCTCCAGTCTCAATCAAAAATAAAAAGTAATTAAAAAAAAAAAAAGTTGATGGTCAGGCAAAAGAATATTAGACTCTGACTTTACCTTACTTGGAACTGCTGTATCAAGATCTAAACCTGCATAATTTGAAACTAAACATTATTCATTTACCTTGCAAATTCAAGCGTGTTAGTATCATCTTTCCAGTACCACACGCCTGGAGTTAGTTTTATCGTCTGCAAGAAAACAGCAGATAGAGTACGTCATAAATCTGTGCTCAAGTTCGCAGCCCAACAAAGTATTTATAATGCAAGCACTGGGCATATGGGCCACTTTCTATCTTTCTTCAGTCTGCTTTTCATCCAGATGTTGTTTGTGGGTGAGTTATTTGAACAGAAGTTCCCTGAGATTAGAGGTTGCCAGCATAAGAAAGAAAAACATGTCCTTTTTTATGTTTTTGAGATTATGAATAAATAATTGAAATTTTGCTATGGAACATTAGTTCTTTGATTGCCAGTGAATCAATAAAGACTGAGAAATCAAATGGAGCCATGCATTAAACAACACATTGCTTTTATTTATTTTTTTCTAGAATATTTACGTAATTGCAGAGACTAAGTATCAGGAGAAAGGAAACCTTTGTTTAAAAATGGAATATGTTAGGCACTTTCCTGATACTCTGAGAACTTTAAATAAACACCAGATAGACCCTTCAGGGGACACTGGACAAAACTACTAGTAACAGCATTTTACGGTATCTATATATTTTAAAAAAATCCATACAAAAAAAATCCCCTGGAAATAAATAACATCTATTAGTCCTTTCTTAATTAACAAGAGAGACTTGCAAACCCTTAACTATTATTTGCAGGTCACCTTTAAAGCAAAGTGACTCTTATTGCTGAAATCCTTCTGCCTACAAATTTGACCCGAGTGAAACTTCAAGGCTTTCTGTGACTTTTTGCCGGGTACCATTCAGCCAGCCAGCCACAAGGCTCTCACAAATCCTTGCTCAATCTAATTTGGTAGTAGAGCGCTGGATACGGGACACCAGAATAATTTCACGTCAGCAGCCAGCAGCCCATGCGATGGTTAGACCACAGAGATGAATTAGGAATTTCCTAATTCATCATTAGGAAACCATGGCTCTAATCCTTTGACAAAAAGTGGTTATTTCAACCTGTCTGTACTAGTCTTCAGTTCCAGCTTTCTAATACCAGTTTACAACTCTCAGAAGAAAAAGGCCATGCAAATGCTATGCCTTTACGTTACACACAAGGGATTATGAACCATGAAAAAAACCCAGAAAAATATAGAAAAATAGAAAAGGTGGTAGTATGGCAGAGCAAGGCCTACCAACGCATCACAGGAAGGAGAAAATACCACTCCTGTGTCTTCAAAATACATCTCAGCTGCTTCTCGCTAATACGAATGGCTGAACGACTGTCCCCGGCCACCCTGCTCCCTGGCTGGGGCAGTGGGACAGGTCCCTGCCCTGCCCGCCCCATGATCCCTCCCATGGCCCCCGGGATCTGCTGCAGAGGCAAACATGAACAGCAGCAACAAGATGGAGCTGGGAAAGGTGAGGAGACTCACAGATAGCATGGTGCTTGCCTGGGACACCGCCAGGAGCGCAGGGGATAAGGCAGGCACTGTTTACGGCAGTATCCTGGTGACAGCCTGCTGTCCCCTAGGAACCGCAGATCCCAGCACACAAATACCCCTCCAGCCTGCGCTGTGGACTGGGACTCATGGTCTGTGTGCTCTGCTCCTTCCCAGCTCTGCTAAACAGCTTCCCTGGGTAACATTTTATTCCAAATAGGGAAATTAAGTGTTTTCCATGCAATACCACCTCCGCAGCCACTCATTTGGACTTGCTGTGTTCTTTGGCGGTCGGGAGCTGCAGAGGTTTTCCTGGTTGCTGGCCCAGGACTGGCAGCAGCGAAGGCAGCTGCACCCGGTACCTCTGTTATGGGCACTGATGCCTGTACAGCACTCTGAATGTTAAACATACTTTAGCTTGGGACTTTACAAGATTTAAAAGTGTATCTATCAGGTCACAAGTCTCCTGTGACGTTGACCTCGTTCCCTATGCGAGCAATCAGCTCAAGATTTGCAAGTTGCCCCTGGAAATAATACCCGTACGTTAAGGCAGGTCACTTAAGGGCATGATTTTGAGGGAGGGGTTTTGATCTTTGGGATATTGTGAAGCATTGTTTTTGCAAGCAGAAAATCTCTCATACTAGTCATTCACAGAGGAACAGTGTTGTGTATAACTGGTACTGTTTAGATCGCACCCAAAATTGACAATAGCACTTTTTGGCAATAGAAGTCGAGTCCCCATGAAGGATGAGGTTTTGCGTTACAGATAAGCCAGCCTAATAGCTAGTTGTTGATGGAAGAGGCATTCTTGCTCCCATCAAAGTTTTCCTATCATTCATCTTTGTGTTGATTCTTTATCTTCTCTGTCCCCACAGCAAGGCGGCTCCCTAAACTGTCAGAAATAGTAATCCGGCAAAAATAAATGAGAAGCATTTTACATCAGTTCATGGTGGAGTCAGAGAAGGGCCAGCGGAGATGCAGATAAAGATAAGAGGACGGGGAGGACCACACCTCTCAACAGATCAGGTCACCTATAAGGTGAAAACCAGCCACAAACTTTGCTAGTACAGCTGCACTAGGCCAGTATGTACTTTGAAGAGATGAAAATACCTGACCTAAGACTTTTAGACAGGTCAGTTCAGTAAGACAGAAGGAACATTTCCTATCCTTTCAGCTCTTAAAGATGGCATCATTCATTTCTGCAATAGTTTCTAACTAGGGAAAATATTCCTGAAAGCAGCACTGAGATGTTCATGACCACATGGAAGAACACATGGACAATACAATATGGGGAAAGAAAATTTCCATAAAACAACCTGTCCCTAACTTCCCCCCATTTCCATAGCCTTCCAAACACGGCATCTTTTCTCCTGTAGGTACTCTGTAAAGGTTTATCCATGCAAACACAATCAGTCCATGGATAGCTAAGCAAGAATCTCAGATCAGCCCGAAAAGTCAGCTCTGGCTGTACAGCCATCTTTTTTTTTCCACAATCATACTGTGTACGTTGTGTTTCCAGTTGCTATTGCAGGCTGCCAAGTACATATCCATGACTTGGCAGCCAAGTTACATATTTAAGAGGATGAGAGAAGCAGAGTTGGGAACAACCTCAAATCTCACCCATGGCAGCCAGGCAGCACTATAGAAATAGGCTCCCCATCAGGGGAAAGAAGGAGGTATGGAACTGATGGCTAATCAACTCATTTTTATAGAGCGGGGCTGTCATCAGCCTCAGGAGACCATCGGCCCATCTTGGCTCCATGTGCTGGTTTTGGCTGGGATAGAGTTAATTCTCTTCACAGTAGCTAGTACAGGGCTATGTTTTGGATTTGTGCTGGAAACGGTGTTGATAACACAGGGATGTTTTCGTTACTGCTGAGCAGTGCTGACACAGAGTCAAGGCCTTTTCTGC